GGCGATGTTCATATGACAAAGCGAGAATCACCCGCCGATAACGTCAGCATTGATACCACGTCCATGCGGTTAGACCTTGCAAGGTCAGCGCCTACAAGTGACAACTTCGGTAATAAACCAGGGGACATGTGGGGATTCCTCTGCATCAACCAACCTCTGTGAAAGTATATCAAAATTAATCCTAGCGCTCATCCGTTTAAAACAACGTGAACCAAGATGACTGCCCTCAACTCCGGTGAATAGTACACAAACTGAACTGCTCAGGCGCCGTTCAAGTACTTCGAACGACTGTCAGTAAGGACATATGTTTCATACCTTGGAATTCTGTCACTCATGGTCAGCACCATGTCCATTACGAAGTAGACATTGTCTGTGTATCAAACATCGTTTCCTCATCCCGTCTCAAGGTGGGTGAAAGTTCCTCCATCTTAGCAAAAATATTGGCTACATTACTACGGCCTCATAGTCACGGATTAGCCACGACAGTATCTGACGAAAAGCATGCTGCTCATCTTTTGTGGCTGCGAGTCCAGTCGTGTTATGCCTACGCGTGCTTGAGGGGGATTAATTTTTTAACTTACCCGTTATTGATGTCTATGTGGCCACGTAGAACGCGTATAACGCCGTAAAAGACGAGTTTGATCCAAAACTGCAAACTGCCATAGTTAAGATCCCTTGGCATGGCACGACTGCTGTTGCAGAAAACTGGAAGCAGAGGATAGACCAATGGGACGAGAGAAGCAGAAGCAAGTCATGAACTTCTATGGGTTTAACGCAACACACAGCAATGGCCACCGTTGGCCCTGTTTCATCGAGTTAGACCGGTCGGCTTCAGATGAAAGCGCAGCTCCAGCAACGTCGAACGCGAACAATGAGAGGGCGGCCAATCGATCAACTATGCACTGATCTGGGCAAGATGTACTCATGTGTGGTATGGTCAGCAGGCCAATGCGCGGCCTGGGACAAGATTCAAGGCGTGGATAGCGCCATGGTTTGGCAGAAGATTCGTCCCAAATTTGCCAACTAACCCCAGTCCTTTCCCCAGAAGCACATTGATTAATCGATTGTTCAGAATAAAGAAATGATTGAATGGTTTCAGGATGCAAGGCAGTCTCCGAACACCTACTGCAGAAACGTGTAGAAGAAATATGGCTGTCGCTGAAGTAGGACCTATGTTGCACTAATCCACTATCAAAGTTTTTTGCAAGACGAGAAAATCCCAAGAACGAATGAATGATTGCTCTGCGGGGTGGAGGTGGCCGCTAATATTTGCATCGAATTTAAGGCTTTGATTGTATTCTGTTCGGCGGAAAGCATCAAGATCAGTCAGAGTCGACAACGGAGCGTATTTGAAAGAAGTGGCTGATGCAAGCCAGCACGCAGCCGGATACAAGGGGATACACAGGACCTTTATCAACTGATTAGTAACTCCACGGGATCAGAAAATATAAGCGAGTCTATGCACAACTTTACTGATTAACTGATATCGACTTTCGCGGCTGGCCTTGATCAGCAAAACCACCACTCTGGATATATCTTCAACCACCCACCTGCAGAAGTCTCGCAGCAACATTTTGTTCCGAACCAGAGCATGGTCCATCTCAGCCTGTGCATTTGTCTTCTGTCAAAGCCCGCCCATTGTACAGAATCAATCGGATTTGCCTCCTACCGTTGTTCAAGTACAAAGTAAATGGGTACTTCTAAAAGTGCTGGAACCGGGCGCTCGTAGCAACCAGCCTGACTTTCTCTGCGAAACGTAACGAAAAAAAATAGGAAAGCTTGTAGCCGATGAAATGTCGCTCGTCATACGTTTACGTGATAGGGTCATTTGCCTATTATGAACTGGGCCTTCCATCTAGAATGAGAATTTCGTTTGTGAGGGCATTACTGTTCTGGATATAATATTGGACACAACGCTGAATAACAGAAATGAAAGTGAATGTCTCTGGCGATCTCCACAGCCTACTGGCAACCACTGAGATAGCCTTCCTTCGACTTTAACAAAATATATGATTCCTGCATACATGGTCCGCTAATGTATCCAATGGCATCTCAAGATTTTCCACATCGTCTCAGGTTGCACTAAATCAAAAGCAGTTTTGAGGGTTCATGAAGACCATAAGGCTGGCACGAAGAAAATGCAGAATTATGAGGCTCTGCTTCTCTTGATTATCAGAAATTGCCACTGCGTTTATCTCACTGAACGACTGATTTAAGATTGAAATTTCTTTTAAATTTCACTTTAGAGGCTTCATGCTTCTTTAAGTCGATTTAAATTTAATTTAGCCTTCGTGGGTAGCACAAAGCCAGGATTTTGCCCCTTGTCAAATGTAGTCTTGCAGCAGGTTTGTGATCGTTCGTGTGTTTCGGACAGCGACTGCAGTGGGCCTACAAAGTGCTGCAAAGTTGGTTGCAGCTATCGATGTGTCGAGCCGAACACTTCGTTGCCAGTCATTAGTAATAATCAGACCTCCGAAGCACGCGGTAAGGTTTTGCATAATCGATTAACTATTTTTAGAAGACCAAAAGTACGGTCTTTGCCCGTTCTTGACCGACGTGTCTCAGAGAAGCTGCATAGCTAGCCGTCCCTCTTCTCAGTGCAGCACAGACTTCGACTGTCCCGGAATAAAAAAGTGCTGTTCTGATGGATGCACTAATGTTTGCTTATATGCACAGGTGACATCCGGTACGTAGCAGTTCGATAGAATTTTTATGACTTTGTTATAAACGATTTACTTCGCTCTACACCTACATCTTGGCAAGTGAGGGAAAGAATGTAGTGCAGATGAGGTTCCTTCGAAAGGCCATTGCTGTGGCCAGAATCATCAGCTTTCGCGACACGCCATTCCAAGTATCCTGTTTTGTGAATTGCTGTTATTCCAGGTCGAGAGATCACACATACGATAATATGAACCTGCGATCAAAGTATCAGAAGCAAAACTTGCAAAATGGACAACCTTTTTCAAAATCGCATGGCAAGTTGAGCAAGAGTTTCAATCGTCCCCCCGTCATCGATGGTCTTTGAATTCTTCTACTCCGTTCTTTCGTTTCGCGCCATCTACGGTAAATGTTAAGCGTAGATACCAGAGTATGACTCAACACAAGTGATATTATCGCCTATAGAAGGCATGTTCCATTTTTTTGCTTTTCATCGATTGGTACGGGGTAGATTTGCTCCAAGACTTTCTCTCTAGACTTCTTTCTGCTCACTGCTTATTTGACTCGTTTTCTGGACAAGCACCTCGTGACCTGAAGGGGATTGTTTCTAGCACAAATTAGGATGTTGTGTCCCTGTTCATTATCTCTTTCAACCTTTCCGTACATGCTGAAAGAGCACATTGTGCCTTACATTTTGTGTGAGGATTACCTTGAAAACGTTTGGACAATCGTGTAAGCCTACCTATTGGGAATTTCAAGTGTTCGTAGAATTGCTCGATCCGCTTCGCTCATTAGTACAAAAAAAATAAAACCTTATCTTACGGGTTTAGTAGCATGTTGCGTTTCTTTTATCGGCGATATCGATAACTAGCATCATGCCAGAAAACCCATAAGATGGATTTTCATTTTTTTGTACCCATATGCGTATGGATCTTGGGGGTGTCTGTACAAACCTTTGTTCGGTTATGAATCCGCGCACTGTAGGTGCCCAGATACCGGATAGCCGTGGCCTGCTAAAATGGTCCCCTAAGTGACTAGAAGCAAGGGTCGGTGCTTACGCCGCTTCAATCCAGTATCAGAAAAGAAAATGTGTTGCTCATTAGCCTGCTAGTTTTAACTGCATGCATGAATTATGATTATATCACTTACTCCTTCAAGAAGAGATCTCATAGTGTTGTGAATCATTGTTATTTTCTCCTAATTGCCTAGAGAGCCATCTAGTTATCTAATTAAGCCCTTGCTCCATAACATTTTAAGTTAAGACTCTAGCGTATAAGGAGTGCCAGCTCTTGAAAAATTGTCCGTAATGATTCTAGGAAGAAGATAATGCTAGATGCATCTGGTACTTCAGGTTTTCAAATACCATAGTGTTTCATGATCTGCTTATATGGTTTCCTCGCTAACAAGAAAAGCAGGATTAGCGGTACGATAAGCTGGTGAATCTGGTCTTAAACAGATATGCGATATTTAATATATTCCGGCGTAAGAACATATCTTGATGTCTATAAAGATTAGTTTTACGGCTGTACTTTCTCCGTTCGCATGAACAGGATCGACACAACGTCGCAGCTTACTGCAAGCTCTGACTGGATGTTTTCCTGTCCACTGTGCGCCAAACGCAACCGGTCGAAGATAGGTCTTAAAAGACCCTTCAAAGAAATACTTGTTCTCGGTGGTTTCACTATGC